ACTTTAAAAATTTTATTTATTTTTATTTTATGTGTATGAGTGTATAGCCTGCATGTGTGTAAGTACACCTGTGTCATGCAATCCCCTGGAGCTGGAGTTATGGTTGGTTGTTAGCCGCCATGTGGGAACCAAACCCAGGTCCTCTACAAGAGCAGCCAGTGCTCTTAACTGCTGAGCCATCTCTCCAGCCTCAGACACTTTTCATATGTATGTTTAAATTTAAAAATAAAATTAACTGCCGCTGCCCTTGGTTGCAGGTCTGCTCGGTGCCCCGGCCGCAGTCATGACAAACTCACTTCAGCTTGTGCGTGACCACTGGGTTCATATACTTGTCCCTATGGGATTTGTCATTGCTGTTGTCTAGACAAAAGGAATGATGAAAAGCTAACTGCCTTCCGGAATAACAGCATGCTGCTTAAAAGGGAACCAAGGCCCGATGAAGAAGTTACTTGGAAGTAAAGACTGTCACTAAATCACAGGATGTTCATCTTTTGAAAGTTATGGGAGAAATAAAAACATGCTTATTATTTAAAGAAAACAAATAAATAAAATTTAAAACAGGTTTAAGGTACTTGTCCAAAATCACATATTTAAGAAGTAGTCCAATGAAGTTCTAGCACAGGCCTGTGTAATGACAAAGTTGATACAGTTTCAAATAATTTCCTATAAACAATTCAACTAGGAGAATTTTTAGTTTTTTTTTTTTTAGACGGGGTCTCACTATGTAACGCTGGCTGGCCTGCAACCCACTGTGTAAACCAGGCTGGCGTCAAACTCAAAGGGATCTGCCTGTCGCTGCCTCTGGAGTGCTGGGATCAGAGACGTGGGCCGCCGCACCTGATACTAGAAAAATTTAAAAATACAAAAATGGCCCGGCATGGTGGTGCACACCTGTAATCTCAGCCTTCAGGAGGCAGAGGCAGGAGGATGAAATGACTGAGGCCAGCATGGGCTACCTAAGGAGACTGTCTCAAAAAAAGCAAAGAAATTAATCAATAATAAACAAAATGAAAAGGAAACGAAATAAAAAGCACTTGCAATCCACTAACTCTCCAGAGCCGCTACCCCCACAGCTTGGCCATTTTCTATTCAGACGCCGCTTTTCGGCTCTTGTCCACCTTCACAGCACCTCAGCATCCCTCAGGAGCACCCTCAAAAGACACAATCAGCAGTGAAGTGGTGCAGATCCCTGGACAGGCCCATGCCGCCCGAAGGGATCACCTGCAGACCCACAGCTTGCTGACCCCCCTCCCCCGCCCCTGTAAACTGCACATCCTCTGCCCTTTGTCTTTCTCAGCAGCCCCATTTCTCATGAAAAGCTATTTTACAACATCACATTTTCCCTCATTTGCGTCCTTCCAGATCTCTGGTTTCCAGGCTCTCCTCTGTAAGAACGGCAGCCGTCAGGATTCTAAATAATGAACGTTTGCCCTCTCTCTCCCCCACAGCTCCTTGCAGAATGAGTCTGTATGGTGCAGTGGTTCCTTTATTTTTCTCAAGAGTATATTCTTTTCTAAAGGAGAAATCTTAAAGTTCTGTTTGTGATTATTTTACTTTATTGATGAGAAAGAAAAAAAGCAAGGGCCCCATGCACAGATTTCTGGTAGAACACCACTTGAATCATATCTTTCTGAGCCATAAAAGTCGCCGTGACTATACTTTTAGGTTTCTTAGGTTAGTGTTCAATATGTTTTCATTTAAAGTATACTGAGTAAAAGAGAAAGTCTTGTACAGGTCATCAAGACCTGACCAGCTCAGTGTTTTGTTTCTACTATGAATCAAACTCATTTTTATTAGTGGAGACAAAGCCAGGGCTAGTTAGGCCGTTTCCCTCCCTACATGGTCCTTCACCTCTTCTGACTATACTCTGAAAAAGCCATAGGGAGACAACTCTGAGCCTCGAACGAAACAGCTTTGGGAGCTACATCCGTGGGAGAGAACAGCTTCTGGCCTTCCCTTCCCTGACCACCGAGCCCCAGCCAGAGGAGCCAGAGAGCTAGCTGCGGGCATCCTGCCGGCCACATTTGCTTTGTCCAAACTGGAGATCTTTTCGACATCTTTTTGGTCACGTATTATGTGGTAGATTAAAGATGGCCACAAATTCTTTGACAAACTACTAACTGCGACGTGGGGGCTGCACCTCTGTCCCTGCAATCTTAGGTGAGTGCTTGCTCTGACAGTGGAATGTGGCCGTCTTGATTCTGTGGTATTTTCTCATTCCAGCCCTGAGAGCCTGGCAGTTGCTACTTCCTGTCTTCCCTCTCCATACTGAGCCACTGTTCTGTGAGGGAGTTCAAGCCCAAAGGGGAAACCATATGTAAGAACTGGTACTCCCCCATCCAACAGCCCCAGCTGACCATGACAGCTGGCACCAACTTGGCCAGGTGGGAGAGCCGTCGTGGAAATGGGCCTTTCAGACCTAAGTGAGCCGCTTCAGCCAATGCTTAGTGGGAAGACAGACTACCCAGAGGTAAGTCTTCACAACTTTTCTTATGAACAAAATATAATGGTATTTTAAGCCACTAAATTGTTTGTTTTGGTACATGGCTATAGAAAGTCAGAACACACTTTTACCATCAGAAACATTTTGGCAGTTGTTGTAAGGAACACTGAATTGCTGCATATCTGTTATGTACATCATAAAACATGAGAAACAGAAAGTCAAAATGGATTACCTGTAAATAGAAATTGCGAGACTGTCTTCTAGCAGACCAGTGGTTTGTTGTGAATACATATACATTTTGGTGACCATTGATTTAAAATACAGGAGATACTCTGAGACTCAACACAATGTCACTGAATAATCTCCAATACAGCCAACAGTTGGAGAAATACAGCATGTACACACAGCCCATGGTCCAACAGGAGACAGTCAACCTCACGTTCAGGACATTCAAGTCTGACCCACACTGTGACACCAGAGGGGTAATTCTACCACTTCTATACTTTCTGCTTTTTAATTATAACCAGCAAACCATCCCTTCATTTGTTTGTATTAAAAGAGCCCATAGTTAAGAGTGAATCTTGCTGCAGCATAGGAAGAATTTAAACATTCTAGTCCTGATCCACCCCATAATATATACATATTATATCACGTTACTAAATAAAATCCCATGTTATTATTTTAATAAACAGCATGTTATCACAATGGGACCATATCATATTTTAAGCCCATAACTTATCATTGAATATTCAGGCTGTATTCCAACTTGTGGTTATAGCAATCATTCTGATAGCTAAGATTCTGTATACATCTTCACACACTTAAGACATTTCCTTCAGGTACCTTCTTTAAAGCAGAAGAACGGTTGGTTACAAGCACTACGAACAAGCACGGCCAGCTTCTCTCCAGACGTTGCACCGGTTCACAGTTTCTCCTAGAGCCCATTTCCCGGCACCTTCAACAATACTCATTTTGACAATTTAATAAAAAGTTTGTGCTCTAAATATACATATGATATGCATTTTGTGTATTAAAGTTACCCTTTGATTTTTAGCTTTTGCCTCTTCTTATTTATTTTTGTAAGCTGCCTCTTTTATGTGGGAAGGAATAAAGGATACCACAAATAAACAATTTTAGAGATGTATTTCCTAATTCTGTGAGAAAAAGAAAATGGCAGCTTTATTAGCTATTAACTTCTTTCATTTGTGCGTAAAAACACAGCTCCAATTGGCTTAACCACTCCCCCCACAAAAAAGAGTTTATTGGCTCATTGATGAGCTTTAGGCACAGCTGGACTCAGTGGTTCAAATAATAACTTCAGAATTCTGTTCTCATTCTCTCTCTCTCTCCCTCTCCTCTCCTCTCCTCTCCTCTCCTCCTTTCTCTCCCTCCCTCCCTTTCCTCCCCCTTCCCCCCCCCAGCTCTAGTTTCCTCTATTTACCTTCACTCCTAGGAACACTCCAGGAAAAGAGAGCACATGTTTCTATGAGCTGTAGCAAAACCCCCAGAAAAGACTGATTGGCTATCTTAGGTCATGTTTTTATACATGACCCAATCACTATGACCAGAAAAATGAAATACTCTGATTGGCTAGACCTGTTTCTTCTCTTCAATTAGGGACATGATGGGTTTTACCACGGCCAAACTCAATGAGCATTATATTATAGATTCTATAGAATTATAGAGTCAGGGCTGGATGATTCTCAACGAAAGGATATCAAGCAGATTTCTTTTTACAGTATGTGTCAGTTTGAACAGATTTGATAGGTTTTGACCAGCCTATTGCTCTTTTCAGGTCTTTAATGAAGATTTGATATGATAGAAACAGATTCGAGTAAGACTCCGTCAAGATTATGAACCCCAAAGTATTTGCTAAAATGGAATATCACAAAAATGTACATTGCATACAAATAAAAACTAGAAAATGTTGTGTGTTTTCAATTGTACTGCACGTGATCCTACACAAGAAGTCCAAAAACCAAAACCACAATGAATGTGGCCCTGAGTCTCATCCCCCAAGCTCACCCCCCAGCTTTAGATGTGGTAAAACCAGTTCACTTTATTGTGCCTAAGTCATGTTGGACCCTCGTCCTCAGGAAGGGAGCCAGGAAGGACAACAGCCACAATCACTGCTAAAAGTTGTAGAAGCCACACACCATGATAATTTCTTTCTAGAAATATTTGTATTCTGTCTGTCTTTGCTTTCTAGGTAATTAAAGAATGACCCACCATCCAATGTGAACCAGCATGGGCAGCCATAGAACTGCAGTCCTGCTTAGACCGGTTCAGGTAAGAGCAAGGAAAAGAAGATAGGTGAGGGGACTCTGAGAAGCTGAGGTCTTCTGGTTTGGACATTTGTTCAGAAATGGCCAGGTGCAGGCAGGGACCATGCCTAGAGAACTGCATGTGGAACCTGATTTCCACCCAGTTACCCAATGAAATGTGAACTCACTGGTCTGTGCCAGCGAAAGAACGGTTTGTGCTCTGTACTAAATGGGAAAGCTCTTGCCCAGGTTCCTGCTCACGTCTGCCAGAATAGGAGGGGATGAGAGACTCGGTAAAGCAAGTTCCAACCACCAACCTCAAAGTGGGAGATGATTCTGTGTAAGCATCCATCTGAGGAGTAGGGATTTGAGAGGTGTATCAACTCCCAAAATGTACCTGTCCTTTCCTGACCCCTCCAGCCTGCCTAGCAAGCTGCTGCCTGCTATTTACAGCTGGGATAGTTCCTTTACAGGTGTCAGCGTCAGAAAGCTCTGCTCAAATGCAAATATGGGGAGAGTGTCGGACAGTTGTAGGAAAAGGCTAGCAGAATCACCAAATCAGTACCTCCTATTGAGTCATTTACCCTCCATTCATTGGCAGTATGGTACAGAGTGGGCTTACACAGAGGGCCAAATGGGGACAGTAGGTGCTGGAGGGAAATAAAGACTCTTGAAGATAAATTGTGTCTGTCCTGTCCCTGAGAGCAGCCTCTTTATGTTAAAACTTACTTAAAATGCATCACCACAAACTCACATCTCCCTGCATTTGGTCACATCTGACCTCATCCTCTTGATTTAAATGAAGAGGAGACAACATCCTTTGCCTGTCATCTTGGTGGCAGATTTTGCTGATTGTTTGTATCTTAGTACCCTATTGGAGACTTCTGACATTCAGGGCTTCCTGGCTGAAGCTTGTTTTCAGTACTGATTTGTGAAAAACAAAATCAGAGTTTTCTCAGCGTCCAGCTGGTATCTGTTAATGGCAGCAGTGTCGCTTCAGGACCATGTGGAAGCTTATTATTTCCGCTGAAACAAAAAGGTTGTGAGTCTAAGGCCAGCTTCCCTCCGTTTGGGGCCGTCTGCATTTATAGCTGCCTCGTCCCCTGTTCTTTCTTAGCAATTCTTTTGCCTGGAATTGGTGGTGAGGTTGGGTTTGTGACAGTCACTGCCGTGGCACTTCCGCGCAGAGACACTATTACCTCACGACATATGGCACTGTAAACACTGTTGAAAACAAAGAAATGGAAGGCTTCTCTCTTGGCTAGGCTCTGTTTCCCCCGCCCCTTACTCTGGCAGTTTCCACAACCATCCTTCAGCTCAGAGATTGGAGAGTTTGAAATATAATAAGACCTTCCAAGTTCTCAGGCCTGGCCCAAATAGCCATCTCCACCAGATGCCACACCAGAACGCTGGGGAGCCCCGGGGCCCCTGCCTTGTTTTGTGGGCAGCCTCTACACACTGGACTTTTTCTTCTCTGAGCATTGTTTTGCCCAGTTATAAGATCAAGCCACAAGAGGGTCAGCTTCATCAAGGCAGGCCCTCTGCTGGTGAATGGAAATGCAGCCGGCGACTGGGAAGGAAAATTGGTCAGGCAGAAGGAAGTATGGCCTGGAGTCTGACCTGGACTTCATGGCAAGCAGGGGTGTCACCACATCCTGAGGGGTGTGTGGTGACAGGAGAGTCACTGTCCTGCCGGGTCAGCTTCCTTGTAGTGCTTTAAGCCCTGGCCAAGCCAAGAGAGGCTGGGTCATGTAAGAAACAGCCTCTGACTTGTGTGAGAATGCCCTTGGATAAGTAGTCCCCAAACATACCCAGGAAAGTGTCTCAACACTCCAGAATGGGCTTCTGAGGTCCTCTCTGGTGAGGGACTCATTCATTCTCCTCTCATCCCGGCAGAAGTGGGAAGTACATAGACTCTTAGGGCGAGAACCAGGAGGAGGAGGGCTGGGAGGCAGAATGTTGTTACCCATCAGAGACCAAGCTGTACCCAAAGGAACTGTTTAAATCACGGAAGCTAGTGGGGTGTGACAGCATGTGCCTGGAGTCCTAGCATTTGGGAGCTGAGTGAGGCAGGAAGATTGCCTTGAGTTTGAAGGTATCTTGGCTATATAAGTTAGATCCTGTCTCAAAAATAAATTAATAAATAAAATATTTTAAAATAAAAAATGAATGAATAAATAGGATAAATAGGCCTGGCTTCATGGTGCGCATCTTTAATCCCAGCATTTGGGAGGCAGAGGCAGGTAGAGCTTGGTGATTTCAAGGCTAGTCAGGTCTACATAGTGAGACATGTCTCAATAACCCCCCAAGCCAAAAATAAATAAATAGGGAACTGAGGAGATGGCTCAATCACTCTCTGCTTTTGCAGAAGACCTGGGTTTGGTTCCCAGCACCCACATGGTGGCTCACAACTATCTGTAACTCTAATTCCAAAGGATCTGACAAAGGTCCTCATCTGACCTCCATGGGTACCTGCACATGTGGCATCCAGAGGAAGGGAGGGAGGGGAGAGAGGAAGAGAGGGAGAGAGGGAGAGAGAGAGAAATAAAAATTAACAGTCTTTAAAAATAAACAATGCTTTAAGCTTTACGCTAGGTTGGACAGTTTTTCTTTATTCTCTTACCAGGGAGTGAGGAGGGGAAGCTGCTACAGGCAATATAAACAAACTGCATCTTTCCACACATCCAGAAGTAGTGGGGGGTCTGTCTCCTTGCTGCAGGTACCCCAGAACCTGTCCCTGCTTCCCAGTCCACATTTTTCCCAGTCCTTGCTGTGTGAACAGAACTCTCTGGACTTCTGTTCCTGCCCAGACCCTCTGCTGACCGACGGCTAGAGTCTTACCCACAATTCACTCCAGGGCTGCTGGGCTCCTACGTCCTGTGCTCCTTCTGCTGTCTGCGACTTCCATGTTTGTATCCGCCCATCTCCCCTCCGTGCTTGCCCTTTCCCCAAGGCTCTTTCCAGATCTTGAGCCCCTGGGAATTCGCCTTTGTTTTCTCTTGTGTTCCAGGGGGTGGGGACAGACCTGAAACTCAGACGGGCCCAGAAGCCAAGGATGAGAACGAAAAGGAAAACCCCTGAGAAGAGCCTCAGAGAGACAAGTTGACGAAAGGCAGCCCCTTAGTGTGCCTCCCGCAGAAGCAGTGAACCCCGGGTCCAGAGCTGAGGCCAATTTCATCTGAAATGACCCATTGTGCTTCGAATTCCCTGCAGACCACAGCCCCGCTTCCTTTCCACTCTCACCGAACACGCCCTGCGCTTGGTTCTTTTTGCTTGTGTATTTTGTTCCTAAAAACTCTTAGTTTATTAACAGTAACAATAGCCAAAACTTACTGAGCACTTACTACGTGCCAGGCTCTGATTTCGGTACCTGTCCTGTGAAACTGCATAACATCCTCTGAAGTTAAAAAAAAAAAAAAAAAAAAAAAAAAAAAAAAGATTTGATATTGAGAAAGGCTGTGGAAACTGCGATCAGGCATGTGGAAAGGCAGACGGGAGCTGCTGGGAATATGAAGTCTCTTCCTTTGCAGCTGATTTCCAGACTCGCCTCTTCCTTTTGCTGCCAAAATCCTCCACATTGTGGCGGACACTCAATGCCTCCCTCTCCCAGTCCTTAAACCACTGATTTCCACCCCCATAATTCTGTCAAAACTGTTCTCCATGAGGTCACCATGACTTTTTTCTGGTCAAAGAAGATGGTTTTTCCCCCCACGTTCATCATTTCTGACCTCAGGCAAGTATCAGACTTTTCTGATTACTCAGTCTTCCAGACACACTTCACCTTTTCCT